TGAGATAGTCTCCATGTACCAAAACGTTTCCTCCTTGCATTCTGAGGAGTTCTCTCTTTACGTGCCCCCTGCCCTTTAATACTTATGTCAGAGTGATCTCCAGTTAAAGCACCCATTATTCCCTGAGAGTTTACATAGTCACCATGCTAGTGACTTGTCATTTTTTAAAAAATTCATTCACTTGAGAAAGAGAGGTGTGTGTGTGTGTGTGTGTGTGTGTGTCTGTGAAAGAGAAAGAGAAAGAGAGAAAGAGAGAAAGAGAGAAAGAGAGAAAGAGAGAAAGAGAGAGAGAGAGAGAGAGAGAGAGAGAAAGGCGAATGCTCCTATCTGCTGGCTCACTTACCAAATGACCCCTAACAGCCCAGCACAAGCTCCAAGACAGGAACCACGGACTCAATCCAGGTTTCCTACTTTGGTAGCAGGAACCCATAACCTGAACCATCACTGCTACTTCCTGCATTGGCAGGAAGCTTGCACTGGGACCTGGAGCCAGGCATCAAACCTAAGTACTCCAGTACAGGATTCAAGCAGTCTAACCAGTGGCTTAACCATGAACTCAAAAGCTCACCCCTCATTTTTTATTTATTCCTCTCAACGCCAAAAGGAACCACTCATGTTAACCACATTACTGAGAATCATTCTTGTGTTTGACCCCAAAAGCCAATGCTATATAGGGTCTCCCAGTCTAAGTGAGGAAAAAATGCACTGACTATCAGCAGTAACACCCAGTGTGGAAGAAGAACAGATGAGCACACATGGACTTCCATCTCAGTGACCCCTATTACCTCTGTGTCATAGATGCAAAGTATCATAATGGTTAGCTGGCACAGTTCCTCAGCTTTGTTTTCTGGAATTTCTGTAGCAAATTCCTGGCAAGAAATCTAATATATGGGAAGTACGCCTAAGGCAGAAAGTTCTACCAGGTGGAAATGTATATAGTCACCTAGTAAACCATAATTTCTTTCACCCTGATATAGCATAAAAGATTGGTGACTAAAACCATAGTGAAATAACAAAGCAGTAACTATTTATGAACAGATCCATGAATATTCATTGTAATCACTGTACAGTAATCAATTAGTGGTATGCACAGCAAGAACAATATGAAATCCAAGCCTGCAGATTGCAGAACTGAATAAATCATCAGTTTTAAGTGATATGACTAAAGATAATACATATTCCTTTCTTAGTGAAAATTCATCTTGTGTTCTGTAGTGGAACAAATGAGGAAAAAATATACACAAATGACAAAATTTAGGCGTTAGTGTCAGTTCCTACAAATACAGGCAAGAGAAGTATTGCTCACATTATTTGACTATAATCTCAATATTCATTACTTTGCTTAAGACTGAAAGAAAAAAACATCAGCTAACCAAATTTCTTTATGTTTTATACAATACAGTGGTTTTTTAAAAAATACACAATAATGTACTCATATTCCTAACATAAAGCCTTAATGAATTTTCTGATTATTTTCTACGTTTACCCTTCAACATCAAGTGGTGTAATGCATTTAGCTAGTTTAAATCATGAAGTGTTATGTTTCAACTACCTATTACCAAAAAGCAAAATGTCAGGCATGATCCAAAATTTTAAAAACACACTGAATACAAGTATCAAAGAAGTAAAACAGAGTGAAGTGCAGTGGAGCTAATTCAAAATTACCCTGTATTAAAAGTTAGTCATAATCAATGTCAGTCATTTACTATACCTTTTGCAGATGTGCTTTAAGTTACTTATATCATTTTTCTAAATTCCTGCCACCTTGAATGAAAGAACATATAAAAATAAGATTGTTGTATGGAAATAAACAAATTGGATGCTCAACAGTTGCACCTGCGTGAGCACGTGTGAGCACACGCACGCATAAAGCACAGGTCCTACCCCAGACCTAAAATGGCTGAGTGGCAGGAGGATGTTGCTTGGTGACCAAACAATACCTCCTCGGCCACTGAGCAATCCAAACATCACTGACAAATGTGTCCCTTCAGTTTCAGACAGATATGGCTAGGACAAATAGTGAAGGGTATATTTATCTTTTCCAGTAGTTGATCAACAGTTTTATTTCAAGTCAGTTGTCACTTGACTTGATTTGATCATCAGCTAAGTTTAGGCTTTAGGGAGAAGAGCATTTGCAAAGCTGCATCTATTCTTTTGGGAGAATAAAACGTAAAACCAAGCTTCTATAACTACAAGACTGAAAACTGGTCTTGTTGCAATTATGTCCATGTGGTCTGTCTAGGATAACCTCCCAGTTGCTATTGGCCTCCCTTTCTTTCATTAAACTAAAGTAGTTAATTATCCCTGGCCTGTCCTCTCCCCTTTTCTCTTTCCCTTTTCGCAGAAGTAATGATGTCTAATTATCAGCAGCAGTGGATTACTGCAACATCAAGAGCAAAGCATCTCTCATCGACAGCAAAAGGAACCACGGAGTCTCAAACCTCAAGCAGCTGAGGATGATTCTTCGTCTATTGAAAACACCATTCAAATACAAGTCTTCATTTCTACCACTATATGCCTTTGATTTAAAGGAAAACACAGTTTTGTCTTATTGGTGATTGTACACTTATTGTTATAAAGAAAAATCCATATATTTAAGGGAAAATAATTTGAGAAGTGAGGGAACATGATAAAAAGGAGATCTTTTATTTATTTTTCAACTCATTGAAATGATGATTGGCTGTCTCTCAGAGGAGGAGGAGCCTGAAACACTGTCAGGAGCAGTAGAAAAATTCCATAAAGAGCAATGGAAGAGTTCATGAATTAAAAACCTCTTTAACAGCTCAACACTGGCTTGAAAGAAGAACAGAGCTCTTAAATACTACACGGAAACTATTATCTAAGAATATCACCTGATGAATTATTCTTTCTCCCATAAATATAGGGACTCTACTGAACAGAGAAAGACATTTTACTTTCTCTTCGCCTTTGGAGTTGTCTCTGCATAGGATGCCTTGTCAGTAATTCTTTAACTCTGCACTAAATTTTAAATGAAAATATGGGTATCACAGCACGAGAATGCTGTTTTAAATAATTGGAACCCAAGATTATTTTAGTGCTTTTAAAAAGCACAGAATTTATATCATATACAATTTTAAAAATTAATCTTTTATACAGACATATGTGTGAATATAGGAATAGTCAAAACTATACAAGTATAAGCTTATTGCACCAAGACATATGTGTGAAGCTATCTGACAGTTACACCAAGGAACCTAAGTTTAACATAAAAGAAATGAAAAACAAACTTCCTAGATATGTTTATTTTTGACATATAAGAGATTAGTTTTAAAAGTTGTAAACATATCTTAAATTATTTTATTCACTCCGTTAGCTAGGTCTGCCCAAAGAAAAATACATTCTTCTTTTGAATTCTGATTTATTCTAACAATGAATTATTTTTCTACATAACTGCCAATACAAATGAATCAAAAACACTCCATTCTCTATAACAGACTCTGGCTCATCCAGATGTAAATAAGCCTCAGTTCTAATTCATGCCAGGCTAGTCCTCATTATTTAGTAAAGCAAGACAGTAATCTCAGCATTGTCTTTAACAGTGCCATATGCTCTGAGAGGCAGTATATCTACAGATCTACCTCCAAGAAACCTTCCAACAGTAGAACATTAAAACAGCGACAGAACTTTCAAGTGTTTCCATTTTACCTTTATTTCCATGTTCCATTTTTCATACGAATTTCCAAAGAAATACACAAGCTCCAAACAATATTCTTAATTAATCTCAGGAAGCCACCAGCTGCTTTCCAAACCTCAAAGAGTCCTCCAAATACCGCTCTGAACAACCCATTTCTAAATGAATGTGCACCCCCGCCAGACACAGCCTGGCGTCCAAGCCCTCTCCTTCCTAGCATCCTCCAGGAATCCTGCACGAGGAAACAGTTGCCAGTGAGGGAGGGGCGGGGTGGGGGTAAGGAGCAAATGCTCAGGAAACCACAGCACCGCGAGGCAAAAATACAAAGGATGCCAGAAGCCTCCCCCACCCCTACTCCAAGCGAGCACCCACCGTGGCACGATGCAGAAAGGTCTTAGGCGGCTCATCTGCAAATCCACGCTGCCGCGGCTCCCCAGCCCCACAGGCATCTGCGTGTGAGGTTGAGCCAGACTCAGCTCCCAGGGCCAGTCACCTCCAGCGGCGCCCAGGCTGGAGCTTTGTGGCCATGAGACTGGAGCCACCCCAGAAAGAGGGACACACACACACGCGCGCGCACACACACACACCCCATCTGATCGCGCTCAAACCCATCTCTCTTTGTTGCTCATCATCTAGCTGCGGCTTTATTTGTGGAACCGGGAAGTGAGGAAAGGAATGGGGGGGGGGGGGAGTGCTGTGGGGGGAGGGAGGCGGGGAGGACGCATCCCCAGGACCTCATCTGCAATCTAAACAGTCGTGACCGCGATCTCCGGGACCCTCCGAGGAGCTCGCGCTGCCCCGCGTCTCACGCGCGGCGGCTAACAATAAACCCCGACAGCGTGCGGGGGAAACCCCTCGTCCGCCGCGACCGCCACCCGCGGGCTTTGTGCCAATAAGGAGACACTGTCGCCTATCGATCAGCATCGTCTGTTATCAGAGCGTGAGGCTAGGGTTCCAGCCTGGCCTTTTATGCGCGCGGTGGCGGCGGTGGCACACGCGCCAGGCGTCCAGCGAAGGACGTGGGACAATGGCCCAGCCCGAAGACGCTGGACGCTTGCCGGACGCCGCCCGGCCGGGGCTAGGAGGCTCGGCGGCTGGTCCCCGAGCCGGGGAGGCGGGGAGGGCGGAGGGGCTGCGGAGGTGCGCGCTGCCGCTTTAAAATAAAGGACCACAAAGACGCCACGGCGGGGGGAAACCGCGCCTGGCTGCTGCGAGCGGGGACGACTTGAGGAGGGGGTTGGGGAGGGTGGGGGCACAAGAGCCAACGGTGGCTCTCGGCTCCCCCCTCTCCTCCCGCCCCGCCGGGCTGCTCGGGCAGACAAATAACAGAGGCAGGCGAGTCACTCACCGTTGTCTTGACCGGCACGTAGAGCACCTGCTTGGCTCCGCCGCCTCCCGCGCGGACCTCGTCCGGCTGGCCCAGCTGGAAGCCCTTCGATTTGACCCAGAATTTAAATTTGGCGTTGTCCGTGGAGCTCGACTCGGAGCCGTTGAGGAGCTGGACGATCCGCTCGTATTTCTTACGGGTCACCGTCTTGGTCTTGCCTGAGTCCCCGTAAGTCCTGAGGCACCAGTCCTGGAACTGGCGGTACATGTCGCGCTCGCTCTCCATGTTCCCCGCGCTCGGCCGCCGCCGGCCGGATGCTCCCAGCGCACTTCGCACCTGTTCACCCCGGGCTCATGAAAGATGCAGCCCTGGCCACGATGCGGGGACGCGAGGTCCCGGCCGCCGCGGGAGCCTGCCTCGGGTTGGGGGTGGGGGGGTGGGGTAGGGGGGAGGAACGGGCAGCGGGGAGGAGGGTCCAGTTGGGCACCGGCAATCAATGCCCTGTGCTAGCCAGTCTGGCTCATTCGTAAGAGCAGCGGAGGGCTCGGACGCTTTTCCCGTCCTCTCGGTGATGGGGCTCTTTAATATTGTGTGTCCAGGACCATCCCAACAGCATTTGGCCCAGAGGAGCTGGGCTCTGAATAATTAAAATCCTATTCCTGGGTTTATTAAAAATCTCAATATTGACCCGGGGCGCTCCCTCGACGCCTCACCCCGGGCTGCGTCCCGGGCAGGGCAGGTGGGAGCGCAGCGCCGCCTCCCCGCGCGCGCCCGGGAAGCTTCCTCGGCCGCCGGTCCGGGAGCGAGGGCTGCGCCGCTCCCGAAAGCAGCCGCCGGGCGGAGCGCCTGCAAGCCCCGCAGGGCACACGCGTCCCTGGGCTCTCCTTGCTCCGCTTCGGCCTTCCGGGTGACCGGCAGGGAAGGGACTAGAAAAACAGAAAGTTCTTACCTGTCATGTCTTTAAGCCTATCAAAATTCCGTTTTACGGGATTTTTTTTTTTTTTTAAGACGAGGGGGTGGAGGGAAAGCAAGATAATTTTAAAAACGCGTTAAAATAGCACGTCTTCAGGTGCACTGGGGCTAAATTGCAGCCCCGCATCTAGGTTCTAGGAGTTAGGTCCCAGCAAGGAGCGGCGCCTTCATAGAGGGCTCGGCCGGTAGTTCCCAGGGTCGGCGCCGGTGCCCCAAACAGATACGGGTTCCGGGAGGGCGTGGGTACGAAGGCAGGCCGCCGGCTGCGGGTCTCCGGGATGGCGACCCGGCCCGGCCAGCACTCCTCAGGCTTCTGCGGCACCGGGGTGCCCGGCATAGAAGTAAGTTTATAACAGAGATGCTTGGAACCCTGGGCAGGAAATGAGAATACACAGAAGCGTCGTTTCCCCCGCTGCTTGGTCACAGTTTGCAGTTCACCCGGGAGGTTTCGGTTGTCGCTTTTCCCCTCCCGCCACGTCACGGACACCCCCTCAGCCGCGCAGGGACGCCAGATACGAGTTCCTCAGGACGATTTTCCCAGGCAAAGGAAGTCAGCGGTTCCTCCATTCAGGATTTCCATCCGCGTGCCACGGTGCTGGAAATAGGAGTTCCCATCCTCCTCGCGCAGCGGCGGCGGCCGCTCCTCTTTATTCTACTCTGGGCCGAGGCCCGCGCGCGTCCCAGGAAGCCGCTGCGCCAGGAAGGCGGCCCGAGCGGTGCCCGGCGCCGGCTCAGGGTCCCAGGCCACCTTCGCCACTCGTCGTCGCCTGCCGGACGAAAGCCCTGAGTGGGAATGCGGGGTGCCCGTGCCCACCGCGCGGCAGCTGGTCCTGGCACTTGCAAAATGGTCAGTGGCTCCTGCTCGGCCAGGCGGAGTGCGTGTGCGTGTGTGTGAGGGAGAGCCAGGGCGCGAGAGTGTGCGGTGTGCGGGGGGTGCGCCGTGTGTGCGCGCGTCTCCGGGAAGGTCTCGCGGCGGCTGGAGCCGGGACTGACAGCCCGGGCGGAGCGCGAGCAGCTCCACACACTAAACCTCTCGCCTCTCCCCTCACCCCCACCCCTCCCACTCCCCTCTCCTCCCACCCTCCCCTCCCCGGCCCCTTTCAAGCTCTGTGATTGGCCAATGGGACAAAAGTTTCTGTGGAGACGGCTGGGCGCTGACGTCACGGGCAGAATTGTCCCATTTAGGGATCCCGGGGGCAGTGCGCATGCTGCAGGCTGCAGGTTAGAGGCAGGAGGAGGTAGCAGCGGGCCGGGCGGCAGCCAGGTGGCGGAAAGGAGCCGGCAGCATCCAGGTGGGGGGACGACTCCAGCAGGGTTTCCATGGAGATTCCTCTGGGTCTAGCCTAAAAACAGCAGATCAGCTGACACCATTAGCTCAGGACCTAATTACTGCTTATTGGAGCAACAAATGAGGGAGAGGGCCAGCTGCAAAGGAAGAGTTTTTATCTCTCCCCCCTCCTCCCTCCTTCCCCCAGTCTCCTCCTTTCTCCTCCTCTGTCTCCATCCCTCTTGAGTCCCCGGTGAATTCTCATTAACTTGCAAGATTCCTGCAAAAACAGCTCCCCTTCTCCAGAGCCCACCCTGACTGCTTTTATTCTTCTTATTTCCTCCTTTTGTATTAAAAAAAATGCTAAAATGAATCAGTTGTCTTGAGTCCTTGGATTTTTGCCCAGTAATTACAGCTCAGAGAAAGCACTGTCCAGTAGAAGTCACAAGTGAATCAAATAAAAGTGCGCTGGGGGTATCACTTTCAATTTATTGAATTTTGGGTATTTATGTTTAGGCCTTTCACATTTGAAAATATATCATCTATATATATTATCTATATAGGTAGATATAGATTATATATATATATATATATATATATATAATCTTAGTTTCTTAAACCAGTACTGGGGATAAGCAATGGGGCAGAAACATGTTTTGAGTCCCCCCCAAATCATGTGGTATACCTAACAGGAACAACTCAAAAATCTCCTTTGTGGCATCAAAGACTGAGGATGATTCCTAGTAGGAAGATAAATTTTGCTGGATACTGATCAGTGTTTCCTAAAAGTTTCTGGAAACATGTCATTCATTCACAAGTAAGCCAGCTCTGTAGAGTTTACTTTCTCTTATCATTATACCTTAATTCACAATAGTAGAAGTCTTTTTGGTAGCTCTTCCATCCCAAAAGTTATCCTATTTTCTCTAGACTTCATTTAAGTACTTTCAGCTTTAAGAAACTTCCTTTCAAGTTAAAAAAAAAAAAAACTGTCACTTGCCTCTAAATGCTTCTGGATAATGTCTTTCATTTTTTGAAATCGTCTTGTGGTAAAGCACACACTTTACATTGCCATACTATATATATATATATATATATATATATATGTAATATATATTATACTTAACTATGTATGTCACCCAAAAGTTTTATGAAAATATATTTTATTACATGCAATACACATTTATATTTGACATTTTTCTCCTATATGTTTTGTTTTTTGGAAAAGATGGTCACAACTAAATAAACTTGTTATAGAGCAAGAAAAGGATGATTGGCAGCTTTTTAAAAAAAAATTACCTCTTTATTTGATAAGCATAGTGACAAAGATTGAGGGGTGGGGAGTGGGAGGCAGAGAGAGAATCTCCCATCCATTGGTTTACTTCCCAGATGGCTGCAATGGCTAAGGCTGGGCCAGGCCAAATCCAGGAGGCCAGAAATCTGTCTGGGTCTCCCGTGTGGCAGAGGCCCACTCAGATCATCTTTCCCTGACTTCCAAGGCACATAAACAGGAAGCTGAATAGAAAGCAGAGAAGCACTCTGATATGGGATGACAGCATTACAAACAGTGGCTTACCCTGCTGTGCCATAATGCTGACCCCAACTGGAAAGTTATAGTTTGAAAAAAACATTATTTTACATAATAACTCAATCTTTCTTGCTTATCTTCATGAATATGTTTCATTGTTCAAATAGAAGCTTGATTAGAAACCCTTGAAACACATTCTTGTGTTTTTCAAATAACCTCAGTGCAATGAATAATATATACAGTAAGTCCTAAATAAATATATAGCGAGTTAGTAAATTAATGAAGTAAGCAGAAAGAGAGGAAGGAAAGAAGTAGACAGACACTATTAATCCATTTCTGTCGAATTTGCTGGTTGGTGTTTGCACAAAGGTGGTCTCCACTTAAGTGCCAGGGCCTTGCCAAATACATGTGTTCATTATATTTATAATTATACTTGTACACCATAATGTATGGAAATTAAAACACCCTAGACATGAAGAACTAACAAAATACAAACATATGTCATCAGCCTCCAGTTGTACTAACTAGATTTTATATAGAGCTCCCCCCAAAAACACGAAAATTAAAATGGATCATATAAGATATATTCATTTTTAGAAGAAAGCAGTAATTGTTTAATTCCTGAAGGAATATTCAGACAGTGAAAAATGAAGAGCCCTGGAGTTTCAAAGGTGAAGCTTTTCAGAGCCCTGTGGATTTTTTTGTCCCCAGTGGAACCCAAAATGTGATCTACTCTACTTCTATACATTATTTTGTACTGTGAGTGAATACCTTTTACCATATCTTAATTCATTAATTAACTTATTTGAAGGGCAGAGTGAGAAAGAGAGAGCAAGAGAGTAAGAGAGCGAGAGAGAGAGAGAGAAAGAGATCTTTTACCCATTGGTTCACTTCCCCAGTGGCCTAAATAGCCAGATCTTGGCCAGGCTAAAACCAGGAGCCAGGAACTCCATTCTGGTCTCCCACGTGGGGAGCAGGGGTACAAGTACTTAAACTATCTTAACTAGATCTGAATTAGAATAGATGACATTTGAACTAACACTGTAATATGGAATGCCTGCAACTCAAACAGAGCTTAACCCACTGTGTCACAATGCCAGCCCCACCTTTATTACTGTCGCTCCCCCTCTTCGTGGAGGAATGACACAGGGCCTTGCGCTGTTCTTTCGTCTGCTCGGCCCTTCCCGGGTTTGCTGCTGGTTCTTCCCGGGTTGGCTACCGTCCCTTCCACCTCCGTGGAAGGGCGGTTCCCCCTGCCACTTTCCCCACTTCCGCGGGGGAGCGGCACACCGCCGGCCGGCTCTCTCAGGGGCTGCTCAGATGTTCCTTCAGATAGATGTTCCTGGTGCATGTTGTCTCTCTCCTTTATAGTCCTCTTCCACCAATCCCAACTCTGCTACCCACACGCCGAGTACGCTGCTCTCCTCCAATCAGGAGCAGCTCCTGCTGTTTATTGGTTGAACTGGAGGCAGCTGTGTAGAAGCTGTTTCCTCCTCTCCCAGCGCCATATTGTGGGAGAGCAGATGCATAGAATAAGTCTTAATTCCAGTAACAGTCTAGTCCGAGTTGCTCCCCACAATTACCATATCTTTCCTACCAAAGAGCATAAGCACCTCACAAAACATAAAACCTTCTTCAGCAGGGTGTGTGTTCATCCTCTCCAGAATTATGTCTTCCCAGTTTCATACACC